TCATAATTGAAAAGAAAAAGTTAGCTTCCGCATTTAATTAGCTGCGCTACTGCCATATGTATGTTTAATACGCCGGGTGCACACGGGGGGTTACAGTCATCATTTGTAGTACCTATATAAAAGCCATTTTGGCGAATATCTTTGAAACTTAATAAGTTTCTTAGGGACTTACTACAAAGTAATGCATAATTTATAATGAATTTGGTCCCCTCAGGTAATAAAAGACTTGCTCATCTGAAGCCTTCAATCAATTTTGTACTACCGATTATTATGTTAAATTTGCTTCTTCCATTACCAAATAAGAGGAATATCCATATTCTTCATTAAAATAAAATAAAAAACATTAAAAGACATGTAGATGAAAAGAAATAAATACTAAATGAAGAATTACATTTAAAAGAAACGAACTAATTAAATAACATAACATCAATTATTATCTTCAAGAAAGTCTACAACATCCAGAAGTTTAATATCTGTGAGGCCACTAAAATCATCTTCTTCATAGGAAAAATTTGCTTCAGTTTCATCATTTTTTAAGGTCAAATTTTCCTCCACACTATTTTCTTTCTCCTTGATTGAGGCTTGATAAAGCTTGAGAAAATGTTCTGGAGTACGATAGATTCGTGCCCAAGGCCTTTCATACCATATCGATGGCAGATATTATCTTTACTCCTTGAAAAGTTACTTTTAGGGCCCTTATTGTTCTCTTGTTTATTTCCATAATGATGCCGATAAAAATTTGGCCCCTTGCCTCGCCCACGTCCACGTCCGACGCATCCATGACCACAACCAGGACTATAATTTTGTCTCTTTTCAAGCTTATTATGAGTTGTTGCTTTTTCATCAAGGAATGGAGCAGATCCAATGGGACGAACTTCATGATTTTTCATTAATAGCTCATTATTTTGTTCAGCCACGAGGAGACATGATATCAATTCAGAATATTTCTTAAAGCCCTTTTCATGGTACTGTTATCGCAAAAACACATTTGAAGCATGAAAAGTAGATTTTTTTTGCATTAAGTCATCATTAGTAATATTTTCTTCGCATAACTTTAATTGAAAACTAATTTCAAAATTGTAGTGTTGTACTCGCTTATAGTTTTGAAATCATGCAACCTCAAATGCATGAAATCATTGCGAGCTTTAGGTAGGATGACCGTCTTTTGATGGTCTTACCTTTCTTTTAAATTATTCCACAATTCAAGTGGATTTTTCACAGTCAAATATCCTACTTTTAACCCTTCATGGAGATTATGGAGAAGGAAAATCATGGTCTTTGCCTTATCTTGATTGGATGCTTCCTTTTCTTTCATAATTGTATCCACAACACCCTTTACATCGAGGTGGACTTCAGCATCAAGGACCCATGCCAAATAATATTTGTCCATTATATCAAGAGAAGCAAATTCAAGTTTTGCAAGATTTGACATGATGTTGTCTAATATAAAAGAAAAATAAGAGTTAAAATAAATTCCATTTTGTACACAAGGCTTATTCTTAATAACATATATAAACAATACAATAATATTTGAAACATATTCTAATAGCGGTAACTTTAAATCATAAATTTGAATGTATCAATATCATAAATGCTGAAACAAAATGGAAACTTTAAATCATGAATTTTAAAAAATATAATAATATTCTTTATTATGTTTATAAATACTGAAATGGTTTTAATTAAATAACTTTATAACACGTTTTTTTCTTTAAAAAATAGTTTTAAATTATTTTAATTGCCATTAGTTCCTTACATATTCAAAAATAAAAATAGTAAACAATCACAATCATAATTCTAATCACAATCATAATCATCATATCTTTAACCACAAAGAAAGAACATAAAATTTGAAATATAATTCTAAAAACAGAAGAAAAAATTATAATAAAGAAATATAAATCATAAGAAACATTAGCCTAATTCTAATAATACACCCAAATGATACAAAAGAGCATCATTAACCATAAAAAAATAAGCAAAGATAAAGAAACAAAAAAGAACACCAAGGGAACAAAAAAAGGAAAAATAAAATAAATCATGACAAAGTGTTGATAAAGAAAATGTAATAAACTACACAAAACAGTCAAGTTAGTTCTAGTTAGAAATTCTGAGAGTCATCCAATTTCTTTTCTTGTAAAAACCTAATAAAATATTATTGGTTCATAAAGTCCACCCCATTGAAGCATGTTGTGGGGTCATTAGTAGTACGTCTCCACCATTTCCAGTAAATGGAATTTAAAGGTAAGAAAGTGTGTTCATTTATCAAAAACAAAAATAAAAACATGTAGTTGAGAAAATCAAAGCAAAATTGAAAGATAGATAATTCCAAAATGAACGAAAAATAGATCCAACGGTACAATCAGAAAATGGATTGGAAGAAAAAAAATGGTACTTGTGTTTATTGATTTTCCTGATCTAAAACAGAAAATAGATGTGGACGAAGGAGAGTGCAATCGACGATGAATGGCGTGGTGGGGACCGACCAAGCTTCGATCGATCAACAGCGTGGTGATAAGGTCTAAGGTCTTTTAATCAGTGTGACGATTCTCTTTTGAGGCAAAGCTTCGTGCTGATAACGTGTTGTAAAACAAAAGTAATTAGGAGAAAATATAGAAATAAGAGAGAGATAGGAGAATATATTCTTCTTGTATGATAGTTATATTGAAGTTTTATACATGCCTCTATTTATAGACTCACAAGACAAGGCACAGTAGAATAAATGATCATAATTACATCTTTAGTGATTACAATTAGGGATTAAATATCCAACGCTCATATCCAATGCTCATATTATTATGGACAGTTAACGGTCATATTATTTATAACAATTATCACAAGATATTTTCAAAATCATGTGAAGTAACTATTCTTTGTTGTAATATTCTTCCACGTCCTATATGTTGCACCACACACATTGCAGGGTTCATTTCCATCTCGCACCTTATAAAATTTGCATTCCAATAGTCTATATAAGGCACACCCATACATGTTGGAAAAGAACATACACTCTATCATTATTCTGCCAAATTGCGCCTAGACTTTCTCCTTATCTATGCCACATATATCCCACACCACCTCCTCTCTTCACCGTGTACACGGTGGAAACTACCACACATCACTCTTGACTTATTTGCACTAAGAACTGATGACCCTTATACCAGCACCTCTAAATCAGTCCATACAACAATAGTTAATTCTCTTACAGTGTTGCAAATCTCCGGTCAGCACTTCAGACCATTAACGAGTACATAGGTCAACACTTCAAACCAAGTAAAATAAAACATCTAATGAAGTTAGTGAAAAAAAGATTTCCCTCAGGGGACGTTTGGTTAAAGTTTTTATTTGGTTCCCATCTATCTTGAAGTGATATTCTATAATTGCTTTATTTGGTAGAAAGATTAAAAAAATTTAGCTATGCTTCTCTTTTCCCCATCCTTCACAAGTATGTGCAAAATCAAAAGCAAATCATGGTAGAACTTTACCATTTAGGACGTGTTATTCCTAGAAAACTAGCTAAAATGCAAAAAGGTGAATGAAGAGTGTTACCATATTGCCCTCTTCTAAGTACACATGTCTACATCTCTAAAATATCAAGAGTTATTTTTGGTATTTCAACACATTTACCCATCATTATTTCACCTTCAACCAAACAAAGACTCACAAAATTTAACTCAATTTCCCTGGTAAAATTTTGACCAACCAAACAACTTTTTTTAACTTTCTTACCAAACTCATTTTCCAACCATTTCCCTAGTAATTACATTTTCCTAGTATTCAAAAAACTACTCCTTAACCAAACTTCCCCTTAAGGTTTTAGGGCAGTAAAGAAAAAAATTCAAATACTTGCCAACTATCTAACAATAATAACAACTAGCTAAAAAAAGAATACAGAATATATATTTTCTTCAAATGCAACTTTGATGTCTATATTATCTAATTCTTCGGTTTTTTAATCCTTGGAGGGGGGATTCTCTGACCTAGCCAAGATGGTTGGAGGACAAATCTTAGTGTAGCTCACTCCTGATGAGTTGGGACGGTCATCTAGCTTAGTGATGGGCTTCTTGGTTTTCCCTAGCAAGCTACTTGCCCAACAATATAGTGTTCTTCGTATGCTTGAGTTAGTGCCCTTTTTTCAACCATGATGTGTGCCGGGAGCAATGAGAGTTGGGAATGGTTTTGCGGGTGAAAGCTTGCTCGGAGAGACTAGCAAAATTTTGGCTGGGTGGTGATCTGGATCTCGAAGAATTAACAATGGCATAGCAAAACTTATGATTTAGTATTTTTTTTTGGAGAGATTTAAAATCTTATTCCTGAATCCGTCCAAAATTACATCTTGTGAAATATAGATGTGATTTATTAAAAAAAAAAAAAAACAAAGTCATAGCAAAGCTTACGAGTAAGTACAACCTCTTTAGTTTCTTTTAATGTTAATATGGCTAGGAACATACGGAATCAATGCCCTTATCAAAAAAGTCATACTGATAAGCATTGAACCTGTCAACTCACCAACTCTGCACAAATAAGACATTTCTCTTTGTAAGCCAATTACATGCTACAAATAATTTATCTAAACACAGGGTAAGGTATTAGGTATTAGGCATTAGGCATTAGGCATGTATTTAAATCATTTTATTTTACATTCAAAATAACTTATGATTAAAGAGAACTCACGAAAAGAAAAGAAAAAATTCCAGGTATATTAATATGGGAAAAGTGTTTGTCATTTTAAATGACAGAAAGTTATGTCATTTTAAGAGAGATACAGACACAGAAAATTTGAATTTTAAATTAAAAAAAACCACTCACTTTCTCTCTCCCATGATTTCCGTTTTTCTGTGTCTATCTCTCTCCTAAAATGACATAACTTATGTCATTTAAAATGACAAACACCAAACCCAATTAATATAGACAGTAAATGGAAGGAAATTCAAGAATTAGGAAAGAAACGATTTTTATTTTAGAGTCGATACATGCTACACATGGCACTTCTTTAAAGTTTAAATGAAGTACATTAATTTCTCAAATTTAGGTAATGATGATACGGCTTCAATGGCACTACCTAGGGGCCATGCTGCTTCCACAAGAGAATCCTGATACTGAATTTGTCTCACCAACGTAATCTCCTGCCAGGGATCAATGCCTGCCAACAAATGGAATTGCAATCAATGCAGCAACATGATATTACTTTCGGGAAAAAAAAAAAAAAATTATCAACTCTACATAGATATATGACTATTCCAATGCCAATAATTATGAAAACATACCAAATGCATCAACGAGTAATGTATATTGGTATACAAGATCCATGCATATATAGGGAGTGTCTCCATCCTTAAGACGAGGAAAAGTGGATTTGGCATCTTTTAGTTCTGTCTCGCAAGCTAGCTTTGCTGCATTCTCAAAATCCACAGGACGAACTATGGCATTGGGTGCGTTTGGATCAACAAAACCAGCCTATGAACAAACAATGTGATTAGCATGGCCGTGCAGTACCATTAATTAGAAGATGAAATTAATGAGTTTCAGACTTGTACTTATTTCAAGATTGAATAGATTTAATGGATACCTCATCAGCTAGTTCAAAGAAAAACGATGCAACAAAAAAGTTGTTTTCTCCATTTCCCCCTCCACCATTCCATATCCCACCGAAAGTGCATTTTTTATATGAACATGTCCCATTAACATTGAGAGCCTCAAGAACTACTTGTTTGCATTTGCTGAAGCTTGAGCCAGAATGGGGAGCTGAGGCCTTATACTCCACTCCTCCATATTTGTAATACCCTTTGAAGAACAAAAAGTGTAGTTCTAATAGGGATCATATGCTAAGAAGAACGAAAACATATATATAAAGAATTTCAAATACATGTGAGATTCAGTTACTAAGTACCTTTCTCTCTTGAGACAATTAATTGTATGGTTATATATTATTGAGAGCAGGATAAGGGGACTTAATATAGAAACAAAATCATGTTTATGCAGAAACAGAGAAGCCAATGTTTACCATCAAAGCCCTCTAAAATACAAGGGTTTTCAGAACCATCTGTAACCTTTAAAATCTCTGCACGAGCTGCTAGTAATCCAAAGCGCAAGTAACTGAAAACAAGATGTTACAACGTATTAGACATGGCACATAGTATTATACTGAATATAAAATTTTGGAGGACTATTTTTCCATTGGTATCATAGACAATGACTATATATATATATACATACACATTGTGGCTCGGGTCACAATTATAGCCCCCATATATGTTGAATTGTTCCAATGTTGGGGAGAGCAAAAAGATTACTCATATAAGATCTTGTTTAACAACATTTATCTGGTTAATAAAAAAAGAAAAGAAAAGAAAAAAGAACATAGGTTTTTAATTACATGTAGAGAACTATTAATGTGATATTACATAAATTTAAAAATAAACATAAATAAACTCAAGCTTCTAATTAATATATACGCAAAATATTGTTATCCTGAAAAAGAAAACAAGCCGATAACATTAAGAGAAAAGCTACTCATAAAACTCTTTATGAAAAAAACAGAGGCACACATTTTATGTAAGAAGTTAGATGACGGACATTTTATCAGATTAGTAGCCTATAATTAAATAACTGAACTCTTACATGTTAATTAGATGATGCATATATTATTGTTTCACTATAAAAATAATGAAAAAGTAGCAAATTATCCCAACGTACTAACTCGGTTTCTGTCTGTAGGCTGTATAAAGTAATAATTTCAATTCAAAAGCTTAAGTGAGGTTATATTAATAGTTTTATAATTATATTTCACTAATATGTCTTCTTAACTTGAAGTGTGGATAATGCATTGGATCCTGTTTACTTGTATTAAGAAATTTCATAATATTTAATTATTTTTTTAATAGAATGGAGGGTAATAAAGATTGAATTCGTAACTACATTACTGATTTTATATTATATTTCTCTAATAACTCTTTTTAAGGGATTTTTTTTAAAAAAAATACTAAAATATGACTCTGAAGAATCAAATATTCTTTACCGGGTCAAATCTTGGAATATTTAATTTGTGAGAGTGACAAAGGATAAGAGTACCTAGACAGTGGCATATATACCGATCTAGCTTGAGACAGTTGGTACTACCGGGACACGTTAAGCTTTTTTGTGCCCTTTTAAAGTTATCATAACTATTCCAATTTTGATGTAGAAAATATACTACCATAATATGTTTTTATCATTTCATATTTACACTACACCAAAAAAATAAGTTGAAAATCAAAACTCTATTATTCTGTAGTAATGCTCTTCGACATGTATATTTGATCATATATCACACAACAGTATCTAATAAAGTAAGAAGGAAAAACCTGTGAACATAGAGATAATATTTCTTTCCCTTGAGGAACAACTCCGTTATGTATGGATCCGTTCCCTCAGGCACTTTTGGAGCCTTTGCAGCATCTTTCTCTGAGACTGCATAAGCCATTTGAACAGACCCACCTCCAAGATCAAGTATTGCTGAAGTATTTGAATAATGCTTTCCCAAGTTTCCCAATAGATAGTTAATAGTCACCTAAGAAAATAAAAAACAAGATAAGACTAAATTACACTATATTTATTCATGCACGCTGTCGCATTTATCTCCTTTCCACCGTTCTTTGGAGTTTCGTTATTACAAATTTTTATCAATAGAATGCCAGTCATGAAATCCAAGTTAAATTACGTTTGGCAACAACCGTAGAAGATTGAATATTGTGCGATCTGAATTACACAATTTCAACAACTTATAGCTAGTTTCCCACGGAGTGGAATTTGTGTCAGTGGGGCCTATTAGGACAAGCCCTTCGTAGATTGAGTAAAAACAACAAACTGGCCCAAAGTACCGAAATATGTAAAAATGGTCGGAATTATTAGGAAGAAAATGAGAAAAGCAAAAATGGGGAAGAAATATTTGTTAATTAAAGTAGCCAGTGCGAAATCATGATTTCATCCCAATAAATGTTGGTTAAACAAAAATGCACTTTTTAAAAACATAAAGTATATAATATGGATTTAATGTTTATACTTTTGCTGCTGAAAATTTTTCTATACCACACTCATATAAAAAATAAATGAATTTCACTAATCTTTTCTCTTTCTTGTCTAATGAATAAGTGAATTTCACTAATCTTTTCTTTCTGTTCTCTTTATCACGGAAACTCTTCACTTTTTTGTAAATGTGATAACATCAAAAGCAGAAATATATTTTTCCATATAATATGTGATATTTGTTGAACAAAGTTATGCAATTTTTAAAAGGAATTTATAAATATAATGTTATAGGAAAATCAGACATCATGTCATAGAAAGACTAAAAGTGAACCCATTTGTTTTTTTTTTTTAAATAAAAAATAAAACATCACACATATGATATGGATAGGTCTGCTAGAAAACATTTCACTTTTCCTTCGACACGAGGAATTGAAAGCCCTCTTTAAAATATTACCATGATCTACAAAATTGTATTGTGACGCTAGCTAGTGTTAATTCTTTTAGAAAATAAAACCACAGGTCCACAGGGGCAACACAAAATAAACTCCCGAATCACATTCATACCCACATATATGCTCCTTCTTGGGTTCCACTCAACACCGAAACTGCATTTGATTCAACATTCAGTGTGCTTCTGTTCTTGAACATATTCCTAACCTTCAATATATGAAAGTGAAAGCTATGAAAAGTTAAAATAATGGGGGTATAGCTGTTAAAGCAGTGAATACGACATCATAAGCTTCTTCTTCTTTTTTAGTACAATACATCATAAGCTTTAACTATAGGTATTTACCGCCTCCAAGATCCTGTCAGCAGCATCCCCTTTCAATGTCCTCAAACCTGCTGTTGCCTGCGTTACCATTACCATATTTATAAAGATGCAGTTTTCCTTTATCCAAAAAAATTTTAAAAAAAAGAAAAAATTCAAGAACCAGCATAAGAATCCAGTTTATATATATATATGGGAAATATTACCCTATCTGACGTGAGAGAATTTTTCTTTCATGCACTCACAAATCAAGGGTGGGCCCGCTTTTTATTTTTTTTCTCTCCTCTATTCTTTCTTCTCTAAGAAAGAATTATCTCATGTTTAATATTTTCCTATATATATATATATATATGTGTGTGTCAAATGTGTTTCTTATATTGCATGAGATATTTTTTTTTGTGTAAGACACAAAAATGGATGAAACTCACTTTTTTTCTCTCTCTCCTTCTTAGTGGGTGTCATCTATTTTTTTTTTTGTTATATAAAACAAATTATCTCGTACAACTTGACAAAAATCAAACGCTATGTATATATGAGTTCACAGAAATACCCACTCCAAGTTTAACGGGTGTCCTGGGATGCAACTCTTCAGGAACAACACTTTCTGCTTCCTCTAAAAGGGGAGTTAGAGAATCTGCGGCTTCTTGTGGATTCTCAGCGTATGCACTCAAACCTGGTTTAGTCTGCAAGACAAATCAAGAGTAAGAAGTAAAGAGAATAATGTGTCACTTGAGATGAAAGAATTCATCTTTTGTCATGTGAGTTATTATGACCTTAACATAAAGCTCAAGATCTTCCCCAATATGGAGGAGATGTAAGTGCTTGTTGAAACGGTAGACATGTACACGACTTCCTGTACTTCCAGCATCGAAGATTGCCGCATAGGATTCGTTGATGACTTTCTGATTGAGATAATTGGGGGACATTTTACGATGGTTGAGAAGGTAGTAATTCCCCTTCCCATGATACAGGGAAGAAGAACTTGCAGTTGATAACATCAACCAGAATAGAAGAGTGACCAGAATTAGATAATCCATGTTCCCACAGTTGCAGGTATCTTGAACAATGATGTGCTCAGTGCTCACTCTGAGCTTGCTAAACCGCTTCGAATGTGCATAAATAAATACCAAATGCACAACGCTATTTATGAACTGAACTACGGTGCCACTTATAATATAATAATGCAGTATGTGGGCCCACACATGTTTCAATTTAATAGTGTTAGGAAATATTTTTTATAGTCCAAGATGACTTAATATTTTGGTGTTTTCTTTCACAACATCAATTTTTTTTTTTCTTTTTATGCTAGTCATTTTCCCTTTTTCTTTTTTTTTATTCTCTTATTTACGTTAAGGGTTTGGTTTGGATTTTTCTAAAGTTGGTCATGCTCCTGAGTGTGTCTTTTTTGAACTTCCTTATTTGGTTGAAGTTTTTGAAAAATTTAACCATGCATCCGTTTTGTTCGACCGTTTACATTTATGTGAAAAATTAGGAAAAGAACACGGTTAAAAAATACTTCTTGCAAGGTGGTTTTTCAAGTTGTCTAGGTTAATGGGAGAAAGAGAATCATTTCGGTGCCAAAAATACCCTTTGCTATTAGGCAACAGTGTTTGCTATAAGAGTTATTTTGTAATTTGAAGTTATTTTTTCATCAATTTTTTACTTCTAATCAAATATGAACTCAGTAAATTTAACTCAATTTTTCTGATAAAATTTCAGCTAATCAAATAATTTTATTTTAACTTTTCTATCAAACTCATTTTTTCATCAAATTTTTAGTAATTGTATTTTTCTGATAAAAAAAAATATTCTCTACTGTGTTAGAGTAAGGCTTTTACTTTTTTTTTTTTTTTGGAAACATACCTTTGTGGGTGAAGTTTCCTGAACCATATAAAGTTAACTGTGTCCGACGTGGTTGTTAAGACCTGGTAGCTCTGAGTCTCAAATTATTTTATAATTTTTTATTTAGTATTTTAGAATTGGGTCCACGAAGAATATTTTTTTCTATTTGAGGAGAATATAATAAAAGATTTTATAATTGTGTCTTGTGCTTTTCTTCCTTTTTCTTGTTTTTTCTCTTACCATCGATTCTGCGTGATTCATAAGGTTATAGTTACAGCAAAGAATGTGGGGTATCATAATCTTATGCAAGAATAATTACGTTTATATTAGTTTATTTCGAGAATAATTACTTTCTTTTTCTTTTTCTGTCTGAGTAACTTGAGAAAAAAAATGGAGAGTAATTACTAATTAGGTGTATGAGTATTTTTAAATTTGTCTACTCACCGGGATACAATATTTCTTATGGAAAGGATTTCAATTTTTTTTATAAACAGAAATTAGGTGTATCAGTATTTTTAAATTTAGAAAACAACTTTTTGTAAAACTTACATGAGTTAATAATTTAAATAAAATTTATAGTAAAATATTTTGCTTAAAATATATTTCCCTTTTTTAAATAATATGAAGTAATCATGTATTATGAAATCATTGAAAAAACTTAACTATGATTTTTTTATTTAAATATTTTAATAGGGTCTGGATTATTTTAAACTAATATAAATTATACTCTTAATTTTGATTATTAATTTTATTTATATTTATTGATTTTAATTTTTTTAATTATGTTAATTATTAAATACGAATCGATTGATATTCAAGAATGAGTGTAAATTTTTTTATTATTACACTGATATAACAACGGTCTGCGTCATTTTAATAATATATCTAAACATTAGATAATAGTATGAAAAATATACAGCATGACATCAAATTTAAGCATTAAGCTACAAATTCTGCAAACAATCTATAAGAATTATATGTTTGTCTATATTCGCTTCGAAATGGGTGGCAGCATTTTTCTGTAAGCCATTAATTAATAATTCATGCTCAATAACAATCACATCAAGAACATGAAACAGATCTTTAGAATTTATGAGTTTCACATTAACATACATTTGTCCATAACCGCAGAAGATCTCTAATGATGGAATGCCCTTTTCTAAGTCTTGACCCTTTCACTTCTTGTATCCTCTTCTGATAGGGATGAGACACAACGCTTGCAGACTCAGATGGATAGTCAGTTTTCTAAAACCCATTTATAAAGAAAACTCCTTATTACTCTTTTGTAACTGCACCTATCAACAGTTACATTTTTAAATAATTTCCTCAACAGTCAATTACCATTATGCCCTTTTATTAATTTAAATCAAATAACACTTAATATTATACATGAGACAAATAAGGTTTTACATTCTCCCACTTGGCTCATGTCATGAGCTGTCCCTTCATGATTTAATCAAAATTCATTATAATGCGCATTTACTAAGCTAAAGGTTCCATACATTGACCTCATATAAATTCATTATTAGAAATAAAACCAACATTAGTCATGGTGGTTCTATGCTATCAAATCAGCATAGTCCCTTCCATGTACCACTATATTGACTCTTCTTCATAACATGATACTTTAATAGGAAGTACACATTATGTCCAACAATAATGTCTTCATTACGGACCATAAATATTTTCAATATCATCACATATACTTGCATGCATACATAAATTAAAAACAAGACAATATCATAAACATATTCATCAATAAGCTCAGAGTGTCAACATTTAATACATAACCAATAAGTATCATCATTCACTAGTTGACATAATGCCCATTATACATACATGACCAGTAAACGTCTTAGGCAGTAATCCCTTCGTCAAAGGATCAACTATCATAAGATCAGTGCTAATAAGCACTATAGACGCCCTATGTTTCTGAACCTCTTCTTTAACGACAAAGTATTTCAATTCCATATGTTCAGCACCTTTGGAATACTTGTTGTTTTTAGAAAAGAAGACTGCTGCGGAATTATCACAATAAATTTTCAGCGGCTTTTCAATGTTGTCGACCAATCCAAGCCCTGAAATAAAGTTTCGTAGCCATTTAGCCTGAATCGTGGCTTCAAAGCATGCCACAAATTCAGCTTCCATAGTAGACGCAACAATTACAGTCTACTTCGCACTTTTCCAAGATATAGCTCCTTCAGCTAAAAGATACAGGTAACCACATGTAGACTTTATTGTGTCCACGCATCCTGCAAAATCTGAATCTGTGTATCCAATCACTTCAAGGTCGTTAGACCTTCTATAAGTAAGCATGTGACCTTTAGTTCCTTGCAAATATCTCAGAACTTTCTTTGCAGCTTTCCAATGATCCATATCGGGATTACTTTGGTATCTTCCCAACATCCTAACTGCAAAGCTAATATCTGGTCTCGTACAAGTCTGAGCATACATTAAGCTCCCAACTAATGATGCATACGAATTTGCTTCCATTTCTTTTCGTTCCAATTCATTTTTAGGACATTGCATGAGACTAAACTTATCTCCTTTCTGAATTGGAACTGGAGATGATGAGCAGTTTTCCATTCTGAAACTCTCTAAAACTTTATTAATGTATGCTTTCTGAGACAAACCTAACAGTCCTTGTGATCTATCACAGAATATTTCTATTCCTATGACATAAGTTGCCTCACCCATATCTTTCATTTCGAAGTTACTAGAGAGAAACTTCTTAGTCTCATTTAAAAGACCAAGATCGTTAGTTGCAAGCAAAATATCATCAACATACAGAATCAATAATATAAACTTTCTCCACTGATCTTCAGATATATACATCGATCAACAATGTTTTCTTTAAATCCAAAGGAAACAACGGTATCATTAAACTTAAGGTACCATTGTCGTGAAGCTTGTTTAAGTCTGTATATTGATTTCTTAAGTTTGCACACCATGTGCTCTTTATCCTTTTCTATGAACCCCATTGGTTGGTCCATGTACACATCTTCATCTAAATTCTCATTTAGAAAGGCAGTTTTCACATCCATCTGGTGTAATTCTAGATCATAATGAGTCACCAATGCCATAATGATTCTTAGAGAATCCTTCTTTGAAACTGGTGAAAAAGTTTCCTTATAGTCAATGTCATCTTTCTGAGTGAATCCTTTTGCAACTAGTCTGGCCTTGTGACGTTCCAAGTTACCATGAGAGTCATGTTTGGTCTAAAAGATCCATTTGCAACCAACTCTCTTGCACCCTTCTGGTAACTCAACAAGATCCCAAACCTTATTCTGTTCCATAGATTTCAACTCATATTTCATGGCATCTAACCACATATCACCATTATCACCATTCATGGCTTGTGAAAACGTTATTGGATCATCCTGAATACCCATGTTAAAATCAGACTCTTGTAGATATACCACATAATCATTAGAAATGGCAGATCTCCTTTCTCTTTGAGATCTTCTTAATGCTATTTGTTGTGGTTCTTCTAGTATGGGTTCACTTGGTTCATCATCGATAATTTCATCATGAGTAGTGGGATCATTAACTCGTCCTTCATTATTATTGATTGGTTCAATAACATAAGGAACAACGACTTTGCTAGAGCTACAAGTCAATGGAACTTGTATTCTCACTTCATGAATATCCACTTTACATGGTATTTCACTCCCAATAACTTCACCACTCTCAATGAACCTTGCATTTCCAGATTCAATAATCCTCGTAGTATGATAAGGACAGTAAAATCTATACCCTTTCAACTTTTCTGGAGAACCAATGAAATAACCACTGATTGTCCTTGCATCCAGTTTCTATTCTTGCGGATTGTAGTATCTAATCTCTGCCTGACAACCCCAAACATGCAAGTGTCTTATACTAGGTTTCCTTCCAGTCCAAAGTTCAAAAGGAGTCTTTGGAACTAACTTACTAGGAACCCTATTTAATACGTACATGGCAGTTTTTAGAGCATAAGTCCACAATGAAACGGGTAAAGAAGAATTGCTTAACATACTCTTAACCATATCCAGTAAGGTCCTATTACGCCTTTCTGATACACCATTCTGTTGTGGTGTACCGGGCATTGTGTATTGAGGACAAATACCACGCTTTTCCAGGAATTTAGCAAATGGGCCCGGATGTTGTCTACTTTCATCATACCTTCCATAATATTCACCACCCCTATCAGACCTGA